AAGTGCTAACTTTATAATAGTTTCAAATACGAATTTTTTCTGTATGCTTCTCTCCATATTTCTAGGTTACTTGTTTCTTTTCGCTGACGTCGCTATATACTGACAGCACTGAAAATATCGTTCCAAAATAAAAGCTGCGTTTGCATAAAAAGCATGCTTATGAAATTGGAACACTATTGGTAGCATGCACTTATGACGACATGCTCGCAGCGCTGACAAACAATTTTGGAACACAGCCATAGCGTCGTACATGTGACTCGATCGACTAATCTGGAATAAGAATGACAGTAGTGCGCAGACATACTTCATACTTCGTTTGAAAATGGAAAAATAAATTGTAATGAAAAATTATATGCTTTTATTAATATTGACTACAATATTTTCTTGTACATTTTATGTGATTAAGCGTCGACGTCGTATGATTCGTCGAAGGTGGTGGATCAGACCACTAAACAGGCGTCGTAATGTAAAAGGATTCCGTTTATCATTATTTCGTGAGCTTAAAACCACTGACCACGAAGAGTTCTTTTCGTTTATTAGAATGTTACCGTATCAATTTGATGATTTACTTCAAAAAATTGAGCCATTTCTTCCACGTGGTGGTTTACGACGTCCTTTACCATCAGAATTAAAACTTGCATTAACTCTAAAGTAATGTATATATAGTAAATAGATATAGATAATGTAACACACACACGCACACGCGCGCGCACACACACACACACACACACACACACACACACACATTCATTTAGTATATTATTTTAAAATATTAATAATAAATTTTTATAATTTTATTAATTTATAAATTAATAAAAATATTAATATAAATAAATATACATATATTATATACTAAATATAATTAAAAGAATCTTTATATATACATTGTATCTCTTTGGAAAATTGCTTTGGTAATATATTTGTTTGGTAATAAAAGTTTTTTAGCACATGGTGATAGTGCTCGTTCTAAATCTTGGGAATTCAGAATTGGTCGATCTACCGTATACAAAATTGTTCAAGAAGTATGTGAAGCAATATGGAAAGCTCTCCAACCTATATAGTGCTTCCGCAACCAGATCTATTTACTTGGAAACAATCAGCTAAAGGTTTTTACGAGGAATGGCAGTTTCCAAATTGTATCGATGCGCTTGATGGCAAGCACATTCGCATTAAAGCATCACCAAATTCTGGATCAAAATATTTTTGTTATAAAAAATTCTTCAGTATAGTTTTGATGGCAATATGCAACCACAAGTATCGTTTTCTGTGGGTAGATATCGGTCAATTTGGTATGTGATTACAAAATATGTTTATAATTTATATGTATATAAATTTATATATTTCCTAAAGCACTTTTTAAAGCAATAAAAGATACATATCAATAAATAATTTTGTTATGACAAATATTTGAATTTATTTTGAAGGATCTATTAGTGATGGCGTATGGAGTGAGACTGGGCTTGGAAGATGTGTGGGACAAGGAAGTTTTAATATACCACCACCATGTGAATTGCCTGGTACAAATATTAAAATTAATCATGTCCTTGTCGCTGATGAGGCATTTCCTTTAGGTATGAACTTGTTAAAACCATATTCGCAAAAGTTCCTTGCTAATGGTGGTGAAGATGCTGATAAAGCTCGTGTATTTAATTACCATCTATCAAGAGCACGAAGAATTATTGAAAATGCATTTGGTATACTAGCATCTAGATGGCAAATTCTTCTGAAAGGCTGTAATTTTTATCCTGAAAATGTGGATCACATAATTAAAGCATTAATATGTTTGCATAATTTCATCATGGACGATGAAACACAGAAACCTGCTTGTACAAGGCTTTACTGTCCTCCGAATTTTATAGATAGGGAGAATGAAAATCATGAAATCATGGAAGGTGCCTGGCGAGGCCTGGGAGATAACTCAACGCTTTATAAAGACCTTGTTAATATGAAAGGTAATAGTGGAACAAATGCTGCAAAAGCTCAAAGAAACGTATTTCGTGAATATTTTGTGTCGGAAGCTGGATGCAATCAGGTCCCATGGCAATTTCAATCAGCACTAAGAGGATATTGTATTAATATATAACTGTTTTGTTAAAATTTAATTTAATGAAACGGTTGTGTTGATTCTTCATTTTTATATTTTATTAAATTGTAAATCAATGATTTATTACGTATTAATTTTTTTTCAATTAGTTTAATTTCAATGATTAATTTCAAATTACGATGAATCAAATATTAACCGGAATTCTTTTTTAATATTTATTTATTTATAAAACAATACAAAAATACTATTGATTATTTTTCTACATAGTCTCCTTCACGCTCTACACATTTTTCCCAGCGGTTTGGAAGCTTGTTAATTCCTTGCTCGTAGAAACTTTGAGGTTGAGTCACCAACCAATTGCGCACGAATTCCTCAACATCTTGACCGTTGTCAAATCGCAATCCTCCAAGAGCATCTTTCATGGGCGCAAACAAATGATAGTTACAGGGTGACAAATCTGGGCTGTATGGAGGATGCTCAAGGGTTTCCCAATGCATATCCTCCAGTTTTTGTTTCGTTTCACCCGCCGTATGTGGCCTGGCATTGTCATGAAGAAGGATGACGTTTCTGATGGGGACACCGCGTCTTTTGCTTCTGTAAGCGGCTTTTGCTGCCTCCAACAGCTGGCAGTAGTAGGCAGCGTTAACCGTACGTCGGTCATGTAGGAAATCAATGAGCAACACTCCTCTGTAGTCGAAAAAGACGGTCGCGAGGACCTTACCGGCTGAGAGACGGGTTTTGGCTTTCACAGGACCGGCTTCGTCTTTTCTTCGCCATTCTTTACTCGCCATCTTGGACTCGGGAGTGTAATGATGCACCCATGTTTCATCACATGTCACGATATGCCTCAAAAAAGTCTCTCCCTCCCGCTGAAATCGATTCAGATGTCTCTTACTGATTTGCAGTCGGATGTTTTTTTGATCTTCGTTCAACAACTTTGGGACCCATCGGGCACAGATTTTTTTGAAACCAAGATGATTTTTAATGATTGTTTGAGCACTTCCATAGCTAATGCCCACCTGTAAAGCGATTTCATGAATAGTGAGCCGCCTGTCACCTTCAATAAGGTCACAAACTGCACCAATGTTGTCACCAGAGACGCTTGATCTTGGATGTCGATTATGACTCACATTTTCCACACTTTCTCGTCCACTCTTAAACTTTTTGGCCCAATCAAACACTTGAGTTTTAGACAGAGTATCATCCCCATACTGAACCTTCAATCGAGTCAAAATTTCGCACGGTTTAACGCCTTCCTTAGTTAAAAACTTTATTATAACCCGTTGTGCAACGGACGCTGGAACCTGTTGCTCACTCATAGCTGTACTGGCGAATTGACTGAGTCAAACAGCTCACCAAGCGTTTTCCCCACTCCTGATACACTACACTACAAGAACCTACACTGTGAGAGCGCTCGTGGTTGGCTAAGAAAAGTATTTGTAAAATTCCGGTTTATATTTGATCCACCCTCGTACATTTGCATGAGATTACAGTACTATTTATACATTTTTCACAATTTTTACCGTGTACAATCTGTTGCAAAGAAAATTTATTCTTCAGTACTTATGTAAATCATATATATGTGACTATTTCTTTTATATAAAACATGTTATTAATTTTCCTTTGTTTGAACATATAAGTAAATATTAAGTTGGAAATATGTTTGTACAATTAATTTTTTTCCTATTATAAATACAATGTACATATACAACTATCTTATACGATATTATATCAACACAATGTACATATTTTATTTTGTATGATAGGGAAGTCATAATAAAAAATAAAGGATGTATTTTTTGGTATAAATTTTTATTTCTTACAAAATAATGCACTTCGACATATACTTCTGGTATATCACAATCGTATTCAGTCTACAATACATCAAGTTTCCCTAAATGTCTAAAGTTAAAATAAAACTTTTTATTCATATCTTGTTACTCTTTTCATTAATAAAATTAAATAAAATTTTATGATTAAATATTAAGAACACATAGAACAAATTTGAACTTAAATAATCTTCAAATAAAATTATTGACTTATCAATTCTCTCTCTTTCACAGTCAACTAAATATAAAAGGAACATAACATACAAGTAAATTTAAAATAATCATTGGTAAAATAACAATATAACACTTATTATTTTTTAAGCTCATTCATACTTTTTCAAACTTCTTCACGATAGAAAGTAATTCAATTAAACATGTTAATCGGGAAATCAGGGGGACTCTTCCTAGGCAACCTTTTAAAACTTGAACAAACGCTTCAATTTCTGGATTCAATGTTTCTAACAGCCTATCAGAACCTTGACTTGTGTCCTGTTTTTGACTGTTGCTAGTAGTAGTTAATGTCGCGCTCACAGTTCGTACAGAAGCTGCCATATCTTTGAGCAATTTAATATCTTCATCATCTTTAACTTTTTTTTTTCTTATAGAAACCATCAGGAGGAGGTGTTTCTAATTTTATTTTTTTCCGTAGTGGTATTTCTTCTGCCTTCGGAGATATAAATACATTTACATCTGACATATCTGCAAAATAAAAGATGCTTACAAAAAAAATAGTTATTATCCAATATTTTGTAGAATTACTCAATATTTTGTAATATATTGTGTAATATATTAATAACAAATATGCACCTGTCTGACAATCATAAGATGAATCATTATAAGTACAATATTTTAACAATTGAGATTCCTGTAGAGAAGAACAATCATCAACTAATAATTCTGATTCATCTTGTTGCAGTGTAGAGCTCATTGTATGGCTTGAAAGTTGGCTAATTGGAATTTTCTTTTAATGGATTTTGGAATGTTTTCTGTACTGGTAGAACAAATTTCTCCAACTTGTATCCACCTTTTACAGTGTTTACAGATTTCTTTGGATCATTTGTCAAAATCACAAAATTAGATGTTGTGCTACAAAAATGAATAACACAACAGCAATGTAAAATTAAATCATTTTTATATATTAAATTGATTATCAAGAAAGATCTTGCAGACTTACTTCCTTGGTTTTATTGCATCTTTGAGAAATAATAACTCGTTGTACAGAGGTCAACTAGGTACATATACAAGATGATTACCTGCAGACCCTGATTTGGGCTGACTTCGTATAATTTTTTTATAAAGACGTCCAAACGTTGATCTCATATTACTAAATTTTTTCTGAGCATCAAGTCCTGGGAATAACAGTGATTAGGATATTAACCTCAATAATTGTGAAACTTATGTCTGAAGGAAGAAACTTACTTGACAAAGGAGTGCTTATACGTTCTGTCCTATCATAGATCAAACCAAATTTTTTTCCTCAATTTTGTTGTATATTTTGAGACTATTATTCCAAAGACCAGGGTTCGATCTAACAAGTTTTATTAATTCCAGGTCATCAGGACTCGCATCATATGTATTCGAATAATCAAATTCTTCTTCTTTTTCCATTTTGTTGTATTCAATCCAACACTTAATAAATTATTTATTGTAATAATAATAATTTTAACACATTAATCTGCTGTGACGTGACATTTGGTCCGTCACTGTGCGGACTTGTCGACGGCGGACTCGTGCTTCCTACTGGCTCGAAGGGCGAGCGCGTAGGCGAGCGCACACGCGAGCGCGCGTGCCAGCGCACCTGCGAACGTGCGTTAAAATTCGCGTCATTTATTTTACTCGGCAGATTTTCTTCTTTTATATTAGCATTTCTTTTGCGTAATGATCAAGCGTATCAGGAAGCGTAGACGCGCCACGGATCACGCTCGGCAGCTGCTGTGAAATTGCATTGTATCATCGTGTCGTCTCGCCCGTCACCATTGGAAGGAAGACCGAAGAAGGACAGGATTGGAAGGAAGGCCTAAGAAGAAGCTAAGAGAGAAGGACGCACATCCAGGAGTCTGGATAAGCAGGTTGTATTATTTTATATCATTGCTTGTAACCGCTGTCGCATGCGAAGGGAACCATACTTTCACCATGCACCCCTTGCAGAGCACCGGAGGAGGCCAGAATTCCCGGCCACCCTTGAGGGGCCGGACGGACGTCCGTCGGGAGCATAGGGCCCCGACGGGGAGCGAGAAGGAAATCCATCCCGATCTCCTCCGTCAGGCCAGGAAGCGCAGGGGCCGTGAGCACAGACGCCACCCTTGACAGGGACATTCATTGCGCTCGTGCGAGCCAGGATTCAAGGCCGCGCGGGCCTGCACGGCACGCGCGGATATCGTGATACGCGGAAGCCAATCAGCGTGATTCCCTCCCCCCGCAGGAGGGGGGAGCGCTAAGCAGCCTGCGAAAATCCGCCGGGAGCTCCCGGGCCTCACTCTTTCTGTGGACGAGCGAGCCGAGTCTTGTAAGGGGAGCGCGAGATCGTTGTCGCCGAGGCCGAGTACGAGGACGCAAAGGGCCATCGAGAGATTAGCGAGAGGAGGCCGGGAGGATTTAAATTTTTGTTCAAGTTCAATAATTTAAATTATTGAACTTGAACAAATATTTAAATTATGTAATTAAGTATTTAAAAAAACAGTTTATGCAGTACTTCTATCCTATAACTGATTTATTTGAAAATCTTATTTATACAGTGCGTTCTCAGCAAACACAAAGTTACATGTAACATACATGTTAGTTACAATTTCTCACTCAACAATATAAATGTAATATAACACGTGTTGAGTGGGAAATTATAACTAACAGGTACGTTACATGTAACTTGGTGTTTGCTCGGTTAGTATTTAGTTTCCTTTCTTTTTTCAGTAAAAAAACAATTATCTGATACGCGTATAGATGCGGTCGATGAGGCAACTTTAAACTTGGTAGAAAAACGAAGTTCGATTGACACTGAATTCAGACGATCTTTTCTATTTGATCTTTTTTATATCGCGGGATTCACAGCATCTAAATGTAAATGCGAAATTACGTTTAAAAACACTTGTATTACAAGCGCTTTCTCAAGTTGTAGCAGAGGAACAAAATAAAACTTGATCGATTGCATATTTTACAAATTATGTGTTTCAATTTACCTTCTGCCTGTTGTGTATATACTTTCCGTTGAAAGTCAGATAGCTTATTCCATTGCCAAGGTACTTGACCCTCTTTCATAAAATACTCTGTATACATTTTTCGAATTACTTTGACATCATTCGCAAAATTTCTTGATACATTTGGTGCAAAACATCGAAGTGCACTAGGTGGCTCTTCGTTTCGCGATTGACTAGCTTTTACGTTTCCATAGCGATTTTCTGAATCTACAAATCCTACTGGAATATACCTTCTCTGACCAGGCAAAACGTTCAGCTCCGCATTTCGAAGCCAATTGTGTAGTACCACACAACATTTAACTATATTATTTACAGTTGAAAGTGACGCAATAATCGGCCGTCGGAATATTCTCCACTTGGCTGACATTACTCCAAACGTATTTTCAATTGCACGCCTTGCTGAGCTCAAGCGATAATTAAAAATAATTTTTTCTGGACTCAAGTTAGTACCACGGTATGGCCGCAATAAATTCTTTAACAACGGGAATGCTGCATCACCAACAAATACTGCTGGAAGGCAAGTATTTGTACTCGATAAAGCTTCAAGTGGAGGCAATGGCAGTGTTTCTGTTTCGATGCATCTTCCAAAATCTAAACTTTGAAAAATATCTCCGTCGCTTTCTCTACCAGCAGAACCGATACTAACATATGTAAAGCGAAGATCAGCATCAGAAACTCCCATTAAAACAGTGCTGTACGTGCCTTTATAATTGTAAAAAGCTGATCCAGTGTTTTTAAAACATTGTACAACAACATACTTCCCGTCAATTGCTCCGACACAATTAGGAAAATTCCATTAATTTTTTTAAATCTGCGATTTTAGTCCATATTTGTACAGTTGGTGGAGGAAGTACTTGAGGCTGTAGTATCTGCCAAAGCGCTTCCATTGTTTCCATAATTATTTTTGGCACAGTAGATTTACCTGTGCGGTAAAGATAATGTAGACTTATCATATCCCCAGATGTAAGGTATCGCAATGTCAATGATAATCGAGGTGGCGCCCAGTTGGACACGGCTCAATTGGACAAGCCACTCACAGCGCTTGAGACTACAAAGCTCCTAAGCACCGGTCGCTGTGATTGGTGGTGTCCATCGAGCCGTGGTTAATCTGGATCACCCCGTTTGCTCTGAAGAAGGCTAAAAAATGAGTCGAAATACGTAAGCGCGTTTAATGAATAAAGAAGTTTCACTCTTTATAAGTGTATTATTTACGCGACGTCTTCTGCGCCCGACTCCTAGTGCCCTTACTCTTTCCAATTCTTTGATTTGTAAGGAGTCTTGATTAGTTTGATTTATTAA